TAAAATATATTAATATTCAAAATTCTAGTTTACATATTAAGTATCAATGCGGTGTGGGTACATGTCTCTGGATATCCTCTGATTCTTCAATTGAATGCCTTGAACACTCCACCATTGAAGGGCCTCCGGGTTTCAAGTGGCTTGATCTTCAAAGAAGGGCTTGTATATATAGCTTGTTCTTCTTGAAGGGCCTCCGGGTTCAAATGGCTTAATCTTCAATGGAGGTTTGGATCAACAAGCAACAGGCACGATTGGATTGGAGGAGGGACTTTTACTTTCAGGATCACATTTTTATTGTGATCCCTGAATAAGCTTCAAAGCTTTAAGATATTTCTATGAATTTTTCCTAGGATGTGTGTGATTACATAGAAATGAGAGCTCCTATTTATAGCTGTAGGATAGAGAGTTTTGATAACCTCAAACTCTTTTGATATTATCTAATTAACAAATTAGATAAATCAATATTATCCAAAATATTTCAAATATATTCAAATATACTAATATTGATAAATAATCAATATTTATCAAAATTTAAGTGTCTACACCTGTGAATCAAATTTTATATTCGTAGGTTTAGGAGTAATTTTGGGAGTAATTCGTAAAAGAAAGAGGGATTTCACACTTCGTAGGTCTGAGAGTAAAGAGAAACCAATATTGAAATGACTAAATTGTCCATTTATTTAACATCAAATTTGACGGGATAACAAACGGATGATTAAATTGAGCATAAGCACAAAAGTATGAGATTACATTAGGTCACCAAAATCATTTATGATGAAATTGAGAAAAACCACTATAGTCAAAGACCATTTTAAATAGAGTTAATACCCAAAATCGTCCTCGACTATAGTGGTTTTTCTCAATTTTGTCCTAAACGACTTTGGTGACCTAATATTGTCCTAGACTTTTGTGTTTTGCTCAATTTAGTCCCAGACTTTTGTGTTTTTGCTCAATTTAGTCCTTCATTTGTTATTCTGTCCATTTGGTGTTAAATAAATAGACAATTCAATAATTTTAATATTGGCATCTCTTTACTCATAGACATGTGAACTGCGAAATTCTTTTTTTTTTTTACGAATTACTCCCAGAATTACTCCTAAAACTGCGAATATAAAATTTGATTTGCAGGTCCGGGAGTAATTTTGGGTGTAATTCGTACAAGAAAGAGGAATTTCGCACTTCACAAGTTGAAAGTAAAGAGAGATCAATATTGACATTACTGAATTGTCCCTTTATTTAACACCAATTTGACGGAATAACAAATGGAGGACTAAATTGAGCGAAACACAAAAGTCTGGGACGATATTAGGTCACCAAAGTCGTTTAGGACAAAATTGAGAAAAACCATTATAGTCGAGGACGATTTTGGGTATTAACTCATTTTAAATATTAACTCAAATGTATAGCAATGGATCGAAAATGAGATGCATTTAAACTGATATTTATTAAAAATATTATCAAAAGAACCAAATGTAGACATGCACTAAATGTAATAAAAATAATACTTACAAACTAAATGTGAAAAAAGTTACGTTACTATTATATCAAACATAGTCATATATCATATTCTCTCTCTCTCTCTATTTGGGAGGCAGACGGCAGGGATTATCATTGGAAATATCTTTGGAACACAAAATCTAATAATTTCATTTCATAATTAAATTGACCAGCACAATTGCCTTGCAGATGTCTTGATGAAAGCTAGAGTGAGCAGTGTTGTACAAAGTCAACCTAACCAGAGATCAGAGAGGCATAGGCCAATCATGACTGCCACTGACCTTAGAAGACCAAACAACAACAAAATCACCTTCAAAACCTTTTTTTTTTTTAAATCTTAAAACAATACAAAATTTTGTCATTTCGAATTATTGTTTGCTTTCAGATGAGATTTGAAATAGGATTCTCTGCTTAGCTCATTTGAATCATGATCTTGGGGGAGAAGTGAGAAGGATGACTTTGGTCACCCAAACTGGATGAGAAGATCTTCCTCATCAGAAACTATATCTTTTAACACATCATTTCTATCTTCCACAAAAACATCCCTTCTTTCACCCATCAAACAGATAGATAGATACACTAACTCTCAGGCTAGCTGCAGCAGAATATATATATGTATATGTAATTATGAGGTAGGGTTCTGCAAACATTAAAAATTTTCAATATATTTTAAGTGTCATTGATTGTTTATTGAATGAGTTAAGGCTTTCCTGGTATGGGTTTCTTGTCAAATGTCATACAACTGAATTTCAACCTTGTAAATACATACATTCACCTCAAATATATCTGTCGTACCTGGTACCATCATGCATACCATATGTTACTGTATCGAGTATTAGAACATCTCCAATAGTATTATTATTATTATTTTTTGTGGTTTTTGAGGTGCAAACCAGGAGAGAGAAACGAAAGAAAAGAAAAAAAAAAACTGAGATGTCTGGGCGCGTGCAGTACACACCGTACACGCGTGCCTTGTGCACTCGACGCGCAAAAGGGAAACATTTTTCCCTTCCCTCTCCTTCTGGGGTCTCACAAAAAAAATCATTTCTCCTACAAATTCAATTTTTTATCGCTCATTTCTCCTCCAAATCATCATCTTTCACCTCCAACTCAAAAAAATTAAAAAAAAAAAAAAAAAAAAAAAAAAAAAAAAAAAAAAAACCAAGAAAAGTGCATATTAGGACTAGTATTGGGATTCTTGTTTTTGAATCATAGTATGATTCACTATTCTAGTCTTCCTATGATTCCTCTTGTATATATATTCCCCATGTCTGTACAGTTGTAATCAAGTTCATTCAATACAATTCATTCAGTTCTCATCTGGTATCAGTTAAGCTAGGGTTTTCTCTGGCTCAATGGCTACCGAATCTGTTCAATCATCCGAAGGAACCATCCCCAACACCACTGCTACGCCTTCCGCGAGCGCCGCCGTGTCTTCGCTTTCTACTGCTCATCACTTCATCAGTATTAAGCTTACACACAAAAATTATCTGTTTTGGAGAACCCAGGTCGTTCCGTTTCTTGATGGACATGGTCTCATGTTGTTCGTCGATGGAACCAACCCCAGTCCACCTTATCTTCCCGTCTTCGAAGGTGGCTCGCCGACGCCCAATCCCGATTACGCAACATGGCTTCGTCATGATCGGGCTCTTATGTCCATGTTGATTTCTTCTCTCAGTGAAGAAGTTATGCACCTCGCCGTTGGACATCATACATCACGGGAGGTTTGGGAGTCAATAGAACAGTCTTTGGCTTCCGTATCTCGCGCCCGCTCGTTAAATCTCCTTGGCCAACTACAGTCCCTGAGCCAGGGAGATTCCACGGTTGCTGATTATATTGGTCGTGCCCGTGTTATTTTGGAGGATCTTGCTTTGGCTGGTAGACCGGTTGGCTTGACGAGATGAATCTCTATGTGTTTTGTGGTTTACGGCCGGAATTTCAAAATCTAACTGCATCTCTCTCGGTTCGTGATACTTTAATCCTAGGTGAGTTGGCTAACTTTCTTGGTCCCAGGAGTTTAGTATCTATTGGGTTTCAGGCATCCAAAACAGATGTGTCTCTTCTTTTATTACTCACAGGGATCTGGTTGTGTATATCTACTTGTTTATGTGGATGACATTCTTATGATGGGAAGTGATACGAATCTAGTTCTTCAACTAGTCTCAAAACTCTCTACTGCATTTAAAATCATGGACCTTAGTGAACCAGGTTTTTTTCTAAGAATTGAGGCAATTAAATACAATGATTGGATTTTACTTTGCCAACAGAGATACATGCATGACATTCTAAATCGTGCTGGAATGACAGACTGCAAGCCCTTGTCCACCCCAATTCCGACGTCAAAATCCATCCCCATTGACGCAACTCCATATGATGATCCTACACAATACATGAGTTTAGCAGGTGCATTACAGTATTTAACCATCACTCGTCCTGATCTATCCTTTCCAGTCAATCAGTTATGTCAACACATGCATGCACCTACAGCTACTCACTGAGAACAACTAAAGAGAGTATTACGGTATGTTAAAGGAATTATCAATTTCGGCCTACGAGTCAGGAAGTCATCCTCAAGGGAAATTCATGCCTTCTCTGATTCTGACTGGGCCGGCTGTCCGGAGGATAGAAAATCCACAAGTGGCTTTGTTGTTTTTCTTGGGTCTAATCTAGTATCATGGGTCTGCAAGAAACAAAGAACTATTGCTAGATCTTCTACTGAGGCTGAATATAAAGCTCTAGCAGATATTTGTGCTGAAGTAATTTGAATTATGTCTCTTTTGCGTGAATTCCGTGTTACAGGGATCTCGGTTCCCAAATTATGGTGTGATAATCTTGGAGCTACATATATGTGTGTGCCAATCCTATCTTCCATGCCCGCACCAAACATGTAGAGATATATTATCACTTTGTGCGAGATAAAGTTGCTACTAGAGAGATTCAAGTAAATTTCATCTCAACAAAAAATCAACTTGCACATATATTCACCAAGATTTTCTTTTCTCAGAGACAAGCTACAAGTTACAAGTGTACCATGCGCTTGAAGGGGAGTATTAAGACTAGTATTAGGATTCTTGTATTTGAGTGATAGTATAACTCCTTATTCTTGATGATGCTATATTGATTATGATTTTTAATCATATCATGTACAATCATATATTAATATACATGTCAATCCGTATTTTTAGAGTTTCTATATGCAATGTGGGTGGACTTTTATATTGTATCGATCATGTTGATAATATTAAGTAAAACTATGTAATTATATCAAGTACTATGCCAATGTGATTGTACAATTGACATCAATACCGATAAAAATAACTTAGTTGGCAAGCAGTACTCATTATAATTTGTAAGTGAATGAGTTATCAAAAGAGTTAGTGAAAAAGTACTAAAAACCTAGAAGATTAATAATACATGTCTCAAATTTTTTACACCCAATCTTATTTCATATCATATTATTTCATCCAATTTACTCATAATAATATCAACAGTACTCAGCCATGTAATTTAAGACAAGATTTAGGGTAGAACCAACTGAGCAAGATGACGAAAGAACATCATATGCAGTCTTCCTCATTTTTGAACTCTATAAAATAATTTCCAGTACAAGTAAACGCCAGAAAACTTTAGACACAGATTGCTCTTACAAGTAATGTTTGAATACCATGTAAGGTTAGCCCAGTGGCTCGAGCAAGTAGGCGACCAATACCTAATCTGCGAAGTATTTTAGCGATGCCACCTCCTCGGTGGTGGGTAGTACAAGGTTGATGTTTGAACTTTGTATTCATGATCCACCTGCTGTTGAAGGGAGAGAGGAGTTACCATCTATCTTGAATTTCATATCGGAGTCCAGCAATCTCTCTCTATCGAGAATTGAGTCTTTTTAGTTCCAAGAACAGTATCGATGCCAACAGTTGCAATCATCTGTCCCATTGTTATACAACTGTGGACTGGTTAGCGGAAAAAGAAGCCAGAGGTAACCCAGCAACCCAGCTAGAAATGCGAAAGTTATTAGCCCTACAATTCACAAAAGAGATATTAGGCATTACGACATCAACATGGTAAATTGTGAACATATTATTTCATAACAAATAATTTTTGGGCATCAAAACATTAAGTGTGTGTTTGGTTCACACATGGGAATCAAATACTTGGTAATGGTAATGGGTTTTGCATGTTTGGTAGTAGGGTGGAATTGAAATGATTATCAATATTAATGTTTGGTTGTGTATGACCGTATAATGGGAATAAAGGTTTTAAAAATACAAAAACAAAAAATAAGGCAATTGATCCAAATATAATGACATCCAAAGCATCAATATTAACAAAAAAAAATCAAAACAAAACTCTAAAAGTACTAATCCGAACTTAAAAATTAGATTACCAATAAGATGGAATGATACCCCTTTTTAATTAAGGAATGAGATTTTTCATTGAAGGGGTAATCAAATCCCATAGTTGTGTTTTAAAAAGTTGTCAATCAAACACTAACTATGATTTTGATTCTCATTCCTAGTGTGTAAACCCATGAACCAAATACACCCTTGAGGTTCTGCAAACTTATCCGGTTATGCTTACTGTCAAACTTATGAATTAAAGTTTTCTCAACAAACTTCAAGAACTAAAGTTGGAACTCAAAAAGGAAAGTTAATTTTGCGTAGGTGATGGTTAAAATATTAGCATAATAGCAGCCATAAGAATAAGCCAAGGGCAAACTTGTAAGTTGGACTGCAAGTCATATCACATATGACATAATTTGAACTTATCAAAAGTAAGATAAGTAAAGTGGCATAATGTGGCCTAGCTTATTGCTTCTTGAAAAATTAGGCTTTTAAAAAATGCCTCAACTTGAAGCTTCTTGAAAAGAGGTTTTTACTCCTAAAGAACTTTTAGTAGGAGTTAAGCCCCAAACTAAGCCAGGCCAAAAAAGCATTGAATGGTCAACAAAAATTTAAGAAGGGTTAAGAAGTCCAAATGTGGAACTTAAGAAGTAATTCAAGTCATATTTCACCATAACACAATTTTCAAGCAAATTGATTAGGCAGGTTTCTTCGTAGAGGTAGCTTTTATCAAAAAAAGCAACAGATTCTTGGTGCACAATTTACTTAATATATGAGGTCAAATGCCTAAATACAAAGTTTGGTATTGTAACAATCAATGACAAATAGGAAAATATAGTAGAGGATCTTCTAGAAGCTACTTAAACCAGGAAAAAATTACTAGTATTTAAAGCATACATGGTCATTTATTGAAAGTTTTATGTTTACCTAGATGTAGTATTTAAGTATCTAATATGTACAAGTGCACTAAATGCTTGTATGAACTTTCATGTCGGAATTCAAAAGGTAAGTGCTAATCAACTTCCCATACCTGACCTCCTAGAAACTATAGCAGGCAAGCCCATATAATTACAGAAGATATGAGCAACAAGTGGAGCAACCAGATGCCCTGCAAACAAATAAAGGTAACAAGCAGCAAAAATGTATACTTCTAGCATAAGTAGGAGAAGAAACCAAAACATGACAAGTTGAAAAAAGCTAAAAACACATGAAAAAATACTTATCTGACTTTACATGAGCAGTTAGTATGCAAGGAGAGACAAGGGATTATATTCCATTTTGAAATGAAATCTCAGAATTCATTTTCAGTATTGTGAATCATAAATCAACACTGCCTCTTTCAAGTAAATAGAAATAAATGATACACAAATCCTTACTTTCAACTGAAGCATTATAGGATTCATTTATATATCTTTTATTAGCTCAAGTTTGGAAAATGTCATTCTTGTTAAGTGTTCATGCTCATTAATAAAATTCTAATATTAAACTCAACTGAAGTTAGAAAAATTTAGTGAGGTTGTTAGTAAAACTTAAATGCCAAAAAGATATTAGGTATTAAGGTAGCATTATTGCTGAAGATCTTAGAAGTATGCTAAACCAAAAATCACATGTCAAAATTCAAACCATGAGATTAAGAAAGCAGGTTATTTGATGAAACAAAAATAAGATGTACAATGAGCAACAATATCTAAGCATTTCATACCTGTGCGAATATATAGAAATGAAGCATATGATCCAAAAATGACAGTGTAGCCAAGCTGGAAAGCTACAAATATGAGCACACAAAATAATTATGAATTCCCAACAATAGAGCTATGAATGGTAAATTATAGTAACATTTCATCACCAATATTCTCTACTCTCCAGAGATGGTAACCTCCACAATGCCACCAGAAATAGGAAGAGAATGAGAGAGAAGTGTTGCATTCAAGTATTACAAATACAAAGTGGCTATACCTGCAACCATAAAAGCTTGGAGCAAGTTGCCTCTTCGTTGGGCATATTCCAATAAATGGTTCAAATGAGCTGCAAGGAAATGAAATCAAAGTTCACTCACTTTAGCATGTTATGCAATGCAAAGATTATATATAGGGACTGGGAATTGGTACAACATACAAACTACATAAGATAGAACATGGATTATAAATAAGATGTGGTTTTATCAGGGAGATGTTTTCCATCAAGATCATGCCAAAGGTTAAAAATTCAGAGAAAATTATTTCTCCAGGATTCTCTTACTATAGGGGTGACAAGTGATTTAAAGTTATAATACCCTTATTAATTTCTCAGTATATGCATTTCATGTGCTGGAAATATACTTGATTCCTCAGGTCCTCCATATATAAGTATAATCCCTAGTGCTTGATAATTGATGAGATCAGCAACTAGCAAAAATGAAACTTGTTTTCTTACCTAAACTGAAAAAGACAGGACAAAGAAACACAACAGTATACGTATTGAATCCTCCACAAAGAAGCAAAGGAATCATACAAGCTCTAAATACAAGCTCTTCTGTAACTGGTGCCTGTTCAATAAAACAATATTAATTAGGGAAAATGGTCAAATAAGCCCTTGAACTTTATACGAAAAGCAATTAGACCCTTGAACTTTAAAAAGTTGCAATTAAACACTCCAACTTATAAATATTAGTCAAATAAGTCCTATCTAAAAGAGTTAATTCCAACAATGGTCCTCCAACTATTGCGATTTTCCAAAATTGGTCCGCGACTTTTAATTTGGACGAAAAACACACTTGACTTTCTAATTTGTTCCAGCAATGGTCCTTCTGTTATTCATCCATTTGTTTGCCGTGAGTGAAGGGGTCAAATTCATCTTTTCATTAGCTTGGTGGAGTAGTTTTCTGTGAGATCATCAATGGAGTGGCAGTGGCGGGCGGTGCCGGAGACAAATCTGGGGCACACCCGGCCCTTTGCCCAAGAATCATGAAAACGGTTTGTGCCTAATGATTTTGTGATTATCTATAACTTTAGTGTGATTTGTGCCACCAAGGGAAGTAATGATTTGAAGATAAAGGAATGGATTTGTGCTAATGGTTTTGTAATTCTCTGTGTCCTATGGCTTAGCCTAACACCAATGCAAACATCAAGATTCCTGCTAATGCTGCAGAGGAAGTGAAGGGCAGTACCGTTTTTCATGATTTCTTGGGCAAAGGGTGTGCCCCAGATTCATCTCCGGTGCCGCCCGCCACCGCCAGACTGCCGTTGGAGCCCTCCTCCGGTGGCGGCTGTGGCCCAGTGTACCGTCCACCACTTCATATATGTGTTCTTTTGGTGGAGTAGTTTTCTGTGAAGTCATCAATGGAGTGTATGAGGTCATCAATGGAGTGGAATTAGTATTAGCTATATTAGTTTCCATGTCTTCTTTTTGCGAGTGGCCATTATTTTGTGTTAATCCTATTCCTAGCTGACTGATAGAATGAACAGATGATATTTTAAATAGATTGTAATTTGATAGCATTTATAAACTATGGTAGAAGAACATGGCAGGAAAGATTTTGAAAAGTTAACTTTCTGTGGCTTAAGAGGTGATTTTACAGGAAGAACATAGTTGAAAAGACGATTTTGACCCCTACACTCACTGCTAACAAACGGATAAATAACAGAAGGACTATTGGTGGAACAAATTAGAAAGTCAAGTGTCTTTTTCGCCCAAATTAAAAGTCGAGGACCAATTTTGGAAAATTACAATAGTCGGGAGGACCATTGCTGGAATTAACTCTATCTAAAATTACAATGATGTGACATATAGGCCGCCGTAAGCCACCGTTGACCGCCACAGTTCAAAAAAGCCGATTGTCTTCTCCACGACCGGTTGTCGCCTTCTTGAAGAAGAGGAAGGCGACTAGCGCTGGTCACCTTCTCCAATAGAGAAGGCGACTGGACTGGTCGCCGTCTTCAGTTAAGGCAACCAGTGCTGGCTGCCTTCTCCACTGGAGAAAGCTACTGTCGATCGTCTTCTTCCATGGAGAAGGCAACTGGACTGGTACGACTGGGGAGAAGTTTCGAGTGTTTTATCATAAATGTAAACAAGAAGACATGATATCAATTTAACCAACCCTACTACTATATTGATATCACAATTTGGATGACTTGAGTTTTTTCCATCAATCACCATATCTATTTTATGTGAAATTGCACAGCGAATTATGAAATGTCATAAACCAATAACTTCACATACTACAAGTTGCAAAATCACATATACTCCATATCCAAGATATATACATATATGCAGATTTTGGCATTTTTTTTAAAATTGAAATGTTCATACTCATTGTTATTGCATCATCATGAGTTAAAGCCAGGGAAATAACTTGCTGCTAATTATTAGGTCAAGTGCTGATACTAATATTCCTTCCAGAACCCTGTATGTGGTAGGAGTTTTTAATACTATGACCATTATTTTTGCACAGAAAGAAAAATGATAAAAATATCCTAATTGTAGAGTTTGTATAAAAGGTAATATATTTCAGAGTATATCATACAAGATATATAGGGAAGCTTGCAGAGAATTAAATAGATAATTCCAAGAAATAGGAAGAAATTGCAACAAATATATATTGACATATTTAAGTTGTCACAATACTAATTACATGGCTTCCAATTTTGATCTTCTTTTCTATGTTATGCTACATTTGTTATAGTAGCATTTAATATGATAGAGAGGACATTAACAATAAAAACTTGACAAATTTTTAAGAATTCTTTGTTTGAAGATGTTCTAAAAAATAACATCCAAAAGCATGACATTTTACCATTAACAATTATAAATATGCAATTGTTAACCCTACAACCAAGTTGTTATCAACAAGTTACAAATAAATAAATTAAAAAAAAAAAAAAAAAAAAAAAAAAAAAAAAAAAAAAAACAGTTCTCAATTTAATCAAACAAAACAAAAAGGTCCAAACCATAATGCTAAATGCGAACATGCTTTTTGTATAAAATGGAAAACAACTAGAATCCAGAAAAATTACAAACAAATTGGTGAAGGCACTAACCACAAAATAATTGCGCCAAGCTGAGATATTGGTAGCCATTGAAAAAACTGAGTTCACGAATCTTTGAGGAATGGTTGATAAAATACTTGTACCATCACCCTGATTTTCTTGGCAGGAAACCAAAAGTAGCAATGCCTCCAACAAAGACCCGGCATACATAAGAGCAGTTAAAGATAAAGGAAAGACAGCAGCCTGCCACTGTGTCACAAACAAAAATAAAATATCAGCACTTTGCCCTTTTACAATCTGTGCGTGCTTAATACTGAAAACAGTATGCCAAGCAAACAATTTCAATAAATCAGATTTGAAACTCACAAAATGGTCAGCTCTGATTCCATAAGCACTTAATAAGTCTGATGCATCTAACTCAATCTGGACCAAAAACATAAAATTCAGGCCATTAAACAAGCAACAAAATATATAACAAAAATTGTTGCCTGGCTCCACTAAACTTTGATGCGAAGAAGTAAAGATCAAAATCATAGAAATAACTATTTTTAGAATTTTAGTAAGCCACTCAATTTAATTTTCCATATGGCCACACTCCCATTTTCATTTTCAACAATGTGCTAATTACTGTCAATCCTTCTACAAATATTTGTATATATTTTTCCATATAAAGTAATCAGGATAGTTATTCATTTCAATTTGCAAAGGTTTCCACTATTAACGGAAATTGCATTTTGGATTGGGGGCTTACAGGGAGGATGAGAGAGCAGGCGATGAGTGAGGCGACGGTGGAAATGGCAGCACAGATGAACCGTCGGATCATGAAGGATTTAAAGGAATCGGGCGGCGGCAAGCGGAGGATTAGCGTCGGTGAATAGAGGATTGCAACATAAAATAGCGCCATGGATATACATGCTATTACTGCCGTCCATTTCGAAACGCCGGCGGTGCCAAAAGTCCCGCCATCAATAGTTGATTCTTCCATTGTCATCTGAGTTGCATACACAAACCATTCATGGATTAGTTCACCGAATTTTGTGTGTGTTCTGTGGACTTTAGGTTGACTTTCCGGCAAGGAATTCTTCTCGTTTCTTCCTTGACCGGAAATCTTGAATTTTTTTATTTTTTTATTTTTTTATAACCAGGTTTTCATTTCTGTCAAACTATAATCTAGACTCAAACTCAAAACTCATGAAAGAAATAAATCTAAAGTTATCCAAATGATTCAAGGCCCGCAATCTATATATTTCTACGCACAAAAGGTCTCACCAACCGCCCATTCGGTGAAATGAAATTAAAATTTCACTCTCACATAATTTCGAAGGCAAACAAATTCCCACTGGTCGAAGTCCCCTACCATTAGAAGGAAGATTATTAAACATTGATTGGTCCATCGAGCTACTCCGAAATGGTCTAAGGGGCATTTTAGTCATTTCAACATGTATACAGGAAACATTAAGAAAAAAATAGAAAATGATCAATGTTGCCCCTTGACTTTATTATATTAGCATTAGGACCCTTCATTGTATCGAACATTACTCTTAGAAGGCGCTTGGTTAACATGTTAAATTACAATATAAAATGTAAGATTGTTGGAAATGTTAAATTACTATGTTTAGTTAAAACTGATATATGTAATATAAACATGTTTGGTTGAAGAGTTATTTTTATGTTATAATGGTTATTTTACTTTAATACATTTAACCTATTTTTGTGTATTTCAATAAATTTTAAAATTAAAATAAATAAATAAGACAATGGTAAAATATAGAAGTAAATGATTTAAAAATAATTAACTAAGAGCTTAAACTTGAAAAACATTGTATACATTGAGGGGGAGAAAAATCAATGGGTTAAAATGACAAATTTAGTAAAAAGAGGATTGTGAGAATACATACGGAAGGGAATGTATCTCACATTCCCTTCAAATAGCTAAAAATATTATGTAGAGGTTAAATTACATTTATGAGAAAATTACATAATCTGAACCAAATATGAGAATCTTATATTCCCAAACAAATATAACATTGGTTATCTTATATAACTTGAACCAAACACCCCCTTAAACCCTTGAACTTAAATTTAATCATATTCCTTACTCCGTGTATTTACTCATTTGTAAAAAGAATTGTTTAATTTGTCACTTATGTCAAATCATCGCCACATAGGAAGTTAAGTTATCGTCATATAGAAAAAATAGCACACATAGAAGATTAATTAGCGCCAAATCAAGTATATTCTATTGAATAGCTCAAATTATGACTTAATTGCACATTTTTCCTATTTAAAGGATCTCGATGAAACTATTTTAGTTATGGTGCTCAATTACACTATTTGGTCAACTTAAAGCACTTATTTGGCACTTTTTTTAAACTTATGAAGGGGTTAAAGATTGAAATTGTAATCTTTTGTTTAGTATTACAAGTAGATGTGATTACAGTAAAAGATCTTTAGTAATTTGTTTATAAACTTTAATTTTATCTATATTTTTCCTTTAAATTTTTAATGTATGGATATGAATCAAAGGTATATGATTTTAATTTTCAAAAGAATGAAAGGTTGAAGGTGACTTTTGGTTTGTTAAAGTCTTATAGCATTAATCCTGAAGATCTGAGAAGTATGCTAAACCAAAAATCACATGTCAAAATTCAAACCAAGAGAGAAGGGAAGTGGGTTACTTGATGAAACAAAAATAAGATGTATAATGAGCAACAATATCTAAACATTTTATACCTGTGCGAATATATAGAAATGAAGCATATGATCCAAAAATGACAGTGTAGCCAAGCCGGAAAGCTACAAAGATGAGCACACCAAGGTTATCAAGGCGGACTTTCTAGGCGAGATGCCACCAACTGCCTAGTCGACTAGTCGACTAGGCGACCGCCTAGGCGATGACTAGGCGATGAGTATTAAATAAATAAAATATATACATATATATTGAAAATATCTTGGCTTGGGCAGCCTATTTACTTCAAGTTGCCTTTAGTAGATGAATAGTTTTTCCTAGAAAAATGAGAAGTTTAGTATTTATTGTATATATTGGAAATATCTTGTCTTGGGAAGCCTTTTTGAACCCTATTTACTTCAAGTCATCATTGAGAAGATGAATAGTTTTTCCTAGACTAGTGAGAAGTCTACTATTTATTGATAACAAGTCAGGGTGAGGTAGTGGGCTTTGCTCGGAACAGGAGGACGACGCCGGAGTTCGAACCGCGCCGCCATCGGAGCCTCCACGCGCCGCCGCCGTGCCGCTACTCCGACGCCACGCGCCGACGCGTGTGGCAGATTCCGGCGTCTTCTCCGGCTGAAATTTACACCGGTCGACTCGCCTTAGTGTGTAGGTTCTGCCCATGTATGTTTTGTGGGGTTTTGGGTTGTATTTTGCACTTAGGCGAGGCGAGCGGACTAGGCGCAAGGCTGTGAGCGCCCAGACGCCTAGGCGTCGCCTAGGCGACGCCTAGATAACCATGGAGCACACAATAATTATGAATTCCCAACAATAGAGCTATGAATGGTAATTTATAGTAACCTTTCATCACCAATATTCTCTACTCTCCAGAGATGGTAACCTCCACAATGCCACCAGAAATAGGAAGAGAATGAGAGAGAAGTGTTGCATTCAAGTATTACAAATACAAAGTGGCTATACCTGCTACCATAAAAGCTTAGAGCATGCTGCCTCTTCGTTGGGCATATTCCAATAAATGGTTCAAATGAGCTGCAAGGAAATGAAACCAAAGTTTACTCATTTTAGCATGTTATGCAATACAAAGATTATATATAGGGATTGGGAATTGGTACAACATACAAACTACATAGATAGAACATGGATTATAAACAAGATGCAGTTTTATCAGGGAGATGTTTTCCATCAAGATCATGCCAAAGGTTAAAAATTCAGAGAAAATTATTTCTCCAGGATTCTCTTACTATTTAATGTTATAATACCCTTATTAATTTCTCAGTATGCATTTCATGTAGGGCTACAAACGAGCCGAGCCGAGCTCGAGCTCAACCGAACCTTAAACTTGAAGCTCAAGTTTGGCTCGCAAATTTTTTATTTAGCTTGGGCTCGACTTGATAGGCTCAAGTGTACGAGCTCAAGTCGAGCTTAACTCGACTGGCTCGAATTGAGATCGAAGTTTTGAGCTCAAGCTCGAGTTCAAGTCAAATTGCTCGAAACTTTCAAGCTTGAGTTCGAGCTCAAGTTTGACCTATTTAACTTCATTCTACAATTAATAATATAAATGCATGTATCCATACATAAATAATAACAATTTAATAAATTTAGAGTCCAGAATAAAATATAAACCAAAAAATTACAAAAAAACTTAGCAACATTAGTTACATGGTTCTTAATCTGGCAAGTGACGGCACAATCAGTCCTACGCAGGTATGGAATATGCAGAATAGTATCAAAAGATCTTCAATTTCCTGAAATTAAATTACAAGTATGAATGACAAGCATGGTATCTTAAGATCACTGGGGAAAAAGTCAAATCTATGTGCTTATATTTTAATCAAATGCATGTTTTAGAAAGTGGAATCTACATACTGGCATGTCTCATGCAAATCATTTAAATGAAGATTAATATGGAATGATGAATTTTGTCATAAAACTTAGACAAATAACACCAAATGAAATGAGCAAACTGCTCCATTAAAATCATACCACCATAGTTGGAGCCCAAAGAATCCAAAATACAGCACTTGAGAAATGAACGCAAGCTTGCGCCCATGAAAGCAGCCATATTCTTCTATCTAGTCAAGCATAAACAGTTCATGAAATCATGATATGATATCGCAGGTGCTTCTTTATACATATTAATACTAAAAATACTCAAGAACATTTCAAGAAAAGTGGGATAATAAGAAAGAAATAGGCAAACATAGTCACATATTTCACCCAACAAGGAATCAAATCCAGAACATTACAGGCTAACAAACAATGAGAAGATATCTATGTTTTTTACATTTTATATCACATAAAGTACACCTTCAAAACCAATACTCCCAATTTTAACCAGAGTTTAACTTCTTTAAAAAAAATAAATAAATAAATAAAGTCCAGCAAAACCAACTGCACAAAAGCGGCAGTAAACATACCAATAAGCCATCAGACAACTCACTATGAACAATTCAGCAGCTGAACATCACAAAAAATCAAAAGGAAAGGACCAAAACATCTAAAACCTTCATTATCAAATAATTTAAATGGCTACAGATATACATAATATAATCACAAAGAAGAAAGCAGAAATGAATCACTAAAAACAGCATCAGATTATCAACCATTGTCCTAAATATTTGTTCTATGTTTCAGCTATGGGATGCTTCAATTAGCTTTAAAACTGTGCAAACTTCATCAAAATCACAGCCTTAGAAGATAGATACAAAAAGACTTTCCGCTTCCCACAAATCTTTGATTTTTTCTACTCCTTCCTCTGATTTTCTAGTCATTTGCTTCTTCCTTTCTGCCAAATCTTTCTTCCGTCACGGCAAAACACACTATGTGACTAGAACCCACTAAACAAATCTTTATTCTGTTTTTCTGTCAGTATTATAGGAATAGTTATGCTGTGCAACCGCGTGCACAGTTGCAAAACGACGTCGTTTTAACTAAAAACGCGCGTCCCATTTAAAAAAAAAAAAAAATCAGTTTCGATTCCCGCTCAACAGCATTATGTTGTTCATTCATTGTGGATTTTTAGTTCATTCATTGTGGATATTTAGTTCATTCATTCTGGATTTTGTGTTATTCATTTACTGTGGATATATAGTTATGAATTTGTGGATATATAGTTATGAATTTGTGGATATATAATTCAAATTATGCACACTGCTAAAAAAAATAAACGATACAACATTTAACAATTCAAGTATTCAACATACAAGCAAAAATTTGTAAAAACTAAAAAAAAAAATGATCGAGAGTATTAAGTATTCACAGAGAGTGAAGAGTAAGTGAGTAACTGCGAATTTGAGATTCAATTCAAGTATTCAACATACAATATCATTATATCAATACTTAAACAAAATAAATTAAATTAAAGGAAACAAAATAAATTTATTTACCTGGCTAATTGGCTATGCTGATTGACGGGAGACAGTGAGTGGAGCTCTATAGTCTGTACTGGAGTGCTGCCGTGCTGGACGTCGAGGAGCGTCGATGGTTGGCTGCCAGAGCTTGACGTCGCTGTGTCACTGCGTGCCTTAGTCGGCTGTCGAGGAGTGTGGAGTACGACGGGCTGGAGGATCGACGGAAGAAGTCAGAAAGGAATGAGAATACAATTGAGAAGGGGGAAATTACAAATTAGGGGAAGACTAAGGAGTAGAGAGGGGAAATCGGTCAATGGTCAATGGGTTTGGGGAAGTCTCAAGAAGAGAAAAAATGAAAAAATATAATAATAATAAGGGAAAATTGCATTTTTTATCTTTTAAGTTATAGGGTAATTGTAGAACTCGTCCCTAAGTGTTGGTCATGCTCACTTTTTGTCCCTAAGTTATCATTGGCGTTGCACTTTTCGGCCCTTAGTTATAAGGTAATTGTAGGATTCGTTCCTAAGTGTTGGTCATGTTCACTTTCCGTCTCTAAGTTATCATTGACGTTGCACTTTTCGTCCCTGAGTTATACTAAAATTGTAAATTTTGCCCATAATCACTACTACATAAATGGTATACTACGTCACTTTTTAAATAACCGTTGTCTAATATATTCTGTTATACACTTATACTACGTCACTTAATAGACGACGGTTGTTTAAATAACTACCTATATAGTTGACATACACGGCAGTTTTTTAACCGCCGTATATAGTTAACATACACGACGATTTCCAAAACCGTTGTAGAAAGTGTATATTTACAACGGCAGTCACTTACACGCGCGACACTTCGAAAACTGTCGTGTATGTGTAAAAAAACCGTCGGTGGTTATTTAAAGTGTATGACGTAAAAAAAATTAATTAAGCTATATACGGCGGTTATTTAAAAACTTGTTGTCTATTAAATGACGTAGTATAACAAAATATATAAGATGGTGGTTATTTAAAAAACATCCGTCTATTAAGTGACGTAGTATACCATTTATGTAGTAGTGATTAGGGACGAAAATTGCAATTTTAGTATAACTCAGGGACAAAAAGTGCAACGCAAATGATAACTTAGGGACGAAAAGTGAGCATAAACAACACTCGGGGACAAATTCTACAATTACTCTATAACTCAGGGACGAAAAGTGCAACACCAATGATAACTTAGGGACGAAAATTGAGCATGACCAACACTCAGGGACGAATTCTACAATTACCCTATAACTTAGGGACTAAAAATGCAATTTTCCCTAATAATAATACTTCGTAATAATTAGGCGGGCTGGGAAGTGGCTTGTTGTCCACTGAGGCAAGTAGTTGATAGGTTATGGTCCACTAAGTGGGAGTTGATAGGTTCGAACCTCCGTTGAGACAAGTAGTATGTATATGTAGGGTATTCCCCTTCCTTATAAAAAATAAAAAATAAATAAAATAAATAGGCGGGCTGGGGGTTAGTCCATCAGCCCACCTCACCAAGCTCAATCGTGCTCAATCGTTATACCGTGCACTAGGAGTCCAGGACGCACAAAGCAATGTGCGCCCTGACACAAAACGTCGTCGTATCAAATTATTAACGAAGATTGGAAGGGACAGACGTCGTTCCGTCCGTCCAATCCCCGTTACAGTTTTTTTTTAAATTAAATATAAAGCAACACACTTCTTCTTCCCCCAAGACACTCCATTTCGAACATTCAAAACGCAAAAAAAAAAAAAAAAAAAAAAAACACAGCAAAAATCTCATGTGAAAGAGCAAAAAAGTACGAGAGCGAAGCAGAATACAAGTAAAAAACTTTAGCTCACAAGCAAGCTTTATGTCACTAGATTCTTCTGTCTATTTAGTATTTGTGAAAAATATTATCATAAGGGTTTAATTGGATTTAATAGAATTAAAACTTTAGCACACAGACAAGTTTTATGTCAATAAATCCTTCAACCCATTAGATGATAATTTTATCACAATTCTTAGAATTTATAAATTTAGCTCAATTATAATTCTAAGTTTCATGGTTTGCATTGACAAAACATGTATTCAGTCACTTCCCAAAATTTAGCCACTTTTATTAATTGATCTACGAATCTTGCTCGGTTCTTCGGACTAACTGTAGTAAGTTACGTGATTTTACATACCTCTTTTGGATTCCAATAATAATAAAATGTATCTTTTAAGCCAAATCCTAACTTGGTTTTGGGAGATGTATTTTGTTTTTTTTGTAGTATGTCCAACTATGGTGGGGAATTATATCTTCATTATTTAGTTGGACTTTAATTGGAACCAAAAATTGATTATTAGTATGCACAACTAATTGTGGGGAATTATATCTTCATTTATTAGTTGGTCAAATCAATTATGAGTATGTATATATTATTAATTTCGCTGAATAATATCTTAATCAGTGGGAGTGATCATTTAGCAAAAGATCATTAAGATACTCCACTAAAGATTTTGGATTTAATTATTGTCTTCATACATCTCAAATTGGATTGTATGTCAAACAATAAGTCCAAAAGATTCTGAAAGTATTAATCTTGTATTTGTTCATATAAATTCATTAGTTCAAATTATTGAACATTTAGTTGTGCAATATATTTATGAAAATGTTGTAACAATATTAAGGAATTTATTAGAACAAAAGCATTTAACTTGTGGTGCGCTGTCATTTAATAAATTCTTTAGTGATTAATAGAGTCTTTAGTTTTTTCAAAATTGATCCTGAGCCATTTTGATTTGTAAGGTTCAAAACAATTTGTGAGACATATAAGTAAGGCTCATTATGTTCAGTTCGTTTAAAGTGGACATTGAAGTTATTTGGGAAGTTATGGTGTATGATTAAGATTCCAAATTTATGGACGTAGACTTTTGGTTTAAAGTCTAAGTTATTGGAATGCTTCTGTGACTTGACTATCTTTTGGCTATTTTGATGAGTGGGAGTGACAGACGTGTCAACTCCAACCTCTTAGCCGTTAGAAGTAGTGCTTAAAGTTAACTTATAAAGAAGGCATAGAATATAGTTAGCATTATGCTAACATTAAGATATCTCTACTTAAGGAATGCATCTATGGTTTTAGAGATCATAAAGTGTACTCTTTTGTACAATTTGGATGGTTTTCTCTTTCCAGTTGTGCACATAATATATTTAGAGAAACATCCCTTAAGGTACCGAGAATAAACATTGGGTTTGTTCATAAAGGACCTAAGTTGGAGAATTAAAATGCATGTGACCATAATGGATACTATTCTGATTAAATAGAGGACATGTCACTATGATTCGTGTGTTTTGTTCTTTAATGAGGGTTGTGCTAATACTTGCACCAAGTGGGAGAATGTAAGATTTTCCCTTTATAATATATATTGTATATTATATATTAGGGCCTTAATTAAGTGGTGCAAGTGGACTATGCTTATTAAGTGGTTTGGTTGGACTGAATAACTAGAAGTTGTTAGTCAACCAAACTTTGTGCATAATATACACCTGGATTGATGGGATACAGGATTATGAATTAGATAGCACATTCAGTTACGATACTCATACTGCTCAGTAGACACCAATACACCATCTAGGGTTCTGAGTCAGGTATGAGGCAAATAATGGCTAACGGTCTACCGTTAACAGGCAACACAACAGGAATATCAATTGTGGCTGGAGATCAACACGGCTACGCTTCCGCTCTACTACGAGGTTAGGCTTCTCATATACTATAGTTCAGTATAGTTAGATTATTCTATATCTAACATATTCTACTATACACCTCGGCATACATAACAGATGTTCCTTATGGTTGAGGTTATGTGTATTTTGAGTATAGATTATGTGTATTCTAGTATAAGATTCTGTACATTATGTGTTTACATCTCTATACATTATTCTGTGCCTAAGTGGTCAATCTAGGGTTACATATTAATTAGAGTTATGTTTATGTGTATCATATTATGAGTTTATGTGTATTCTATGTAGAAATTATGTGTATTCTACTATACACCTCATCATACATAACAAATGTTCCTTATGTATAGGATTATGTGTATTCTGAGTAGAGATTATGTGTATTCTATTATAAAATTATGTACATTATTCCTTTACATCTCTGTACAATATTCTGTGCCTGAGTGGTTAATCTAGGGTTACATATTACTTAGACTTATGCTTATGTGCATTATATTATGAGTTTATGTGTATTCTTATATAAAATTATGTAAATTAAGATTTTCAATTGCTATACACCGCAACCTACATAACAGATTTTCAGCATGGTTAAAATTATGTGTATTCTAAGTAACGATTATGTGTATTCTAGTATATTATTATGTGCATTATGCCTTTAGATCTTTGTACATTATTATGTGCCTGAGTGGTTAATCTATGGTTACATATTACTTAGACTAATTATTATGTTTAAATTGTGTTATGAGTTTATGTGTATTCTACTGTAAAATTCTGTAATACATTGTGAATTTAAATTCTCTATCTGATTGCTCTAATTTAAATTCTACTATACACCTCAGCATACATAACATATGTTCTTTATGGTTAAGGTTATGTGTATTTTGAGTATAGATTATGTGTATTTTAGTATAAGATTTTGTACATTATGTGTTTACATCTATGTAATTATTCTGTGCCTGAGTGTTTAATCTAGGTTACATATTACTTAGACTTATGTTTATGTGTATTATATTATGAGTTTATGTGTATATCTGAGTGCTCTAATTGTCTACTGTTATTGGAGCAATGTCAAGCTCCACAGACAGTGATCCTACAATAAAAGAAATGCAGCAAATATGCAAAAGAAAAAGAAATGTTGCATCTACTTCAGTGGCCCTCCATGTAGATTCTGAGCCAAAGAATAACGAAAACAGAACCAAAGCAAGGAATCATTACATCCAAAGGGCTGAAAAAAGAGCCAAATCACCACATAATGCCCAGCCTGACCAGCCTAAAAAACACCAAAACGATCAAGGAAAATGAAAGAACTAGAAGACGATGTACCAAAGCATGTAAAGTGCTTAGGCTTAAGGACAACACCAAAGCAAATCTACAATCTCGTCAACAATTTAAGCCCGGAACAACATGAATCTGTTAAGGAGATAGGATTTTGATCTCTACTTGACATAAAGCTCTCATTATGTGATGGAAAGCTAATCAAGTACCTCCTAGAAAGATTGGATGTTGGTAGATGCTCAGTCCATCTTGAAGATGATGAGCTCTCTCTAGAGGAGGGGGATGT